AACGTTACATTTAAGTAATTGAACTTGTAATTTTTGAACAATATCATATTTTTTATTTGAAATTTTGTCCTTATCTTAAATCCTTATTATATATTTAAGAAATAATATTTATTATAAAACCTTTTAATTTAAAATTTCTTAATTATCTATGACAAGTTAATTTATTTGTTTATGTAAAGATACTTTATTTTAAAAATATTTGTGTATAAATTATCATTATTATTAATATATTATATAATTTAGAAAGATTGATATGTTATAAATAAATTTTTATCGAAAACTTATGACGGGTATGAAATATTTAAGCTAATGTGTCATCCAATTGTCTTCTATAAGACTAAATATACCTCACTAAGCATATAATATTAAAGGGGTGAATACTACTACTGTCATCAGTTGAAGTTGGCTGCCATTATTCGTGTATATTGATGATTAAAAATACATTAAGAATTCTAACGTGATTATGATTCTGAATAGCAAATGCAATATCAGGAACGTCATTTTTGTGTAAGTTAAAGGAGGTCTCAAGTTACTTGCATTTACAGTCTGGGAAGATAAGAGAGTTTACGGATCTCTTCAAAGTAATATACGTGGTACTAACTTGTACAGTAAAATATTAGAAACTTGAGAAATGTTTAATGAAAATTAATTGATAAAGAATAATAGTAAATTTAAAATATATACCAAATTTTCAAGCTAAATAAAATATTGTATTAAATCGAATTATTCAGCCCTTATGTGTAATGTATGTAAAGATTGAATAAAACTGCTTGTGTAATGATTAGATATATTTAATGCGAATTGCTGAATTTAAATGGAAATGAAGCATTTCATAATATATATTACTTTAAAGTCATAAATTCGATGATAAAAATGACCTCAACCTTCGTATCAATGTCATCCAGTTATTTCATCATTATTCATTAGGAATCTAGCGAGATTTGTAGAGAATTGGGAAATTTGTGTGCTGTATAAGATCGAAAAATATAGAAAATCTTAGTTTTTCTCGGCACTTATTCTATCTTCCATAATTGTCAACCAGTTTCCTAATCTCCGCATTAAAAGCAAAGGCGTTGCAGCTGACAAGTCTCGAAGTTTCTTTCAGATTACAGTATGTAATGTTCATTCATCTTATTTCTTCTCCTTTTCCAAATCTTTGTTCCCTACAGCTCCGTCCTTATAGAATATTTAAACTTAACGTTTCGTTTCATACGTCGTCGGATAGAAAGACAGGAAGTGCGATGTGCAGTGCTTGGAAATAGCAAGTCCCGATTCGTCATCTAAGTCCACATTGTATTTTCCTTCTAAGACAAATTAATTTCTTGGCAGTTTGAAGTAAGAGGTGTAGAGCGAAGCTATTTATGCATAGAACAATTTAGTCATTTGAATTCTTCTTCCGTTACCATTAGAGAGAGAGAAACAAACTTAGTAACTACTTTAGCCCTGAAAATTGCATCCAGAGAAGATATCGAATTAAAATCATGGATTTACTGTAGAAAGATTCGTTTCTAAAGAAGTTTTTTGTACATCGTAAGTTTATAATTCAATCCCAGATTAACGTGTTAGCAAAATTTTGCTAACCATCTCGCGAATAAAATCTGAATTTGAAACTTTGCTGTGTCATTATTGTAATTTTATAATGATTTCAAACTGATGTTACTTGAAAATCGGGATGGCCCAAAAGTCGATTAACCTATTTAATTGACATTTAGAGCCGATATAGTTCGATTCGCTGAATTTTTGAGTCTCTTATAAAGCGCTAACGAAATCTTAAGATAGGTTCAGAGTTAATGATGCTTGTTATTGAGTGTTGGAAACTTATGTAGAACAATTAAGTTTGAAAGTGATACATTATGTAATGTCAGCAATATCAACATTTCTTCACATTATCAACATACAAATGAAGTACTGTAAATGAGTTCAGAGTACTTTTGCCAATTATCAAAATATAATTTAGTTCGGGTCGGTAGCATCCTTCTGTAATTAGGACTACCAGTATTACATTCCAAGGTCGTTTCATGTAATAAGTTAGAGGCAAAAAAAAGGAAGATATACTGTAAGATGATTATTTTTTTTTCTGATAAAATATTAAGAAGAAATGTTAAAATGTTCTAATTGTGCAGCTAAAGAATTCATTTTGATTACAAATTAAATCTGGTAATAATTACTTTTGTTACTTCTTTCTTTACTTGGATGCATTGAGGTTGATGTAATAGTTTAATAAAACGAGTTCAGTTATAATGCAAAAATGTTAGAAATCTTAAATTATAAATTAAGCAATTTTTAGCCATTTTCTAAGAGCCTAACTAAGGCACTTTTGGTCTTTGTTCTGGTGATAAGAAGACCTTAGTCTTAACTGATTAATCGCCACAAGAATGGTAAGTCCTTCTTGGAACTGGAGTTGCTCTTCAAAGCTAATTTCTACATATATTGTTAAATAAGAGAATAAATTATTTGATATTACTTCCCTATTTCAGATCAAAAGCATGCATTTAAAACGGAAAAAGCTCAGTTATTCCAATAACAATGTCACTAGGCCAGGGTCGTTAGTAAACAATTTTAGTTTAGTCACAACCTCAACTAAATCCTGTCTGGATGCTATTTTAGTAAATATACCTCTGGCTATTCATACTAATGTTAATATCGCGTAATTACAATGGTGTAGATGACTGACAACCGACACGATCTTCTCATTAGAATATCGATTAATGAGGCAGCTCTTATTAATTGTTTGCTAAGTTACAAATATTGTTACGAAACTCATTGATCCTAATAACATTTAAAAAACTGAATGCAATGACTAAGTATTGCGAGGATTTATAAAAATATAAAAATGGTTAAATTTAAAATTCAAATTTATTTAATTCTATTAGAATTTAAATGCATTTAATTTAGATTTTTATTGGATGGAAAGTTGTTTTTATATCATATATTTTTAACTTGCTAAAGCTCTGTTAAATAATCTAAAAATCCATCAATTTTGTCCATGCATTAATATAAAAAAATTGCCATTGCTATACGCGAAATATTTTATAGAAAATTTTTTACCGGTTCAAATAGAAATAATTAGTTTTTTCGTCATCGGATTTTGTAAGGTGTCGTACTTCCTTTCTTTGTTTGATGGACTAACTAACCTTTTGAAAGCAGTGTTTTCTTTATATTGTACACCTACACACAGTAAGGCAGCTGGTTGATATGATCCTTTCTGTTTAACACCTGGGCCGTAACGATTTCCCATTGGTTTGGTATAAACGATACTTTTATTGGCTGATTTTTGAGGGACATCGCGGCAGAGCACGCTTCACAGAAAAATCCTATACTTACTACTATATTATCTCTGGATTCGTATATGACCACTTGACGCTTCTTCTGTTCTAATGATAATCTGTATATCGGGGTTCATTTGTAGGTAAGGAAATTTTTTTTATTTGCAAAAATGCTCTTTTAGCTGCTTTTTTTTTATTTAATAAACTTTGTGGTGATTATTATTAGATTTTTTTTTTTGCCTGAAATATCGTATGTATTCGATGTATTTGTCTTTCTTTAATAAAAGTTCAGGGTATTGATTCCTGTCTCTCTCTCAGCTTGATATTGCAAGGAGGCATAAAGTTATATCCGTTGTTTATTGATTGGCAAAATATTGAGTCATAAAATGACAGGATGTCGTGTTGCAATAACCCAAAATAGCCCAAAAAATCAAATTTTGTCATGTGAATTGTATTACTATTTCAAATTTTATTATTAGAAAATTGTTTTTCTTGAATATCTAAATGTGTGTTGCATGATTGCATTTCAGTTATGTTTATTGCAAATTACTTTAAATTCGACTCGGGATATGAACATTTTTCTTTAACCGAAAGTCGTTGGTATACTTTAAAATGCATCATCTGATGATAGTGTAAGTCTACATATAATTAATTTTTAATGCTCTTTTTTACTAGAGATACCCCTTTTTACGCTTGACTTTCCTCATTAAAATAATGCTTTTAAGTCTTTCGGCGACGAAAAGTGTGTAGATAAACGAAGCTTTTGTTTGCTTTTAATCTCGACATGTCTATTGTAAAGATATCCATGTGACCGCAACGACGCGTAACCGTCTAAATTATAATTGTCGAGAAAAGAAATGCGGATGCAATCAATAGTTCTTCGAAGGACAGATCTTTTATCATCATTCGAATGATTTTTATTACTTGAATGTTACATTTGTTTCTTTGTTTCGAAACGAGCTGCGAGGATTTCATGTGAAGCTGATCCTTAAATTTTTAATTTGTATTGATAAATGTAACATTAAGAGGCTTCTTCCGGTGTTCCATATCATTTAAATTAGACTTTTTTCGTGTTACGTGTGGCTCCGAGTCAATTTTTATCGGATTAAAAATAAAGCATAATTCTGACTTAAGTTAATGCATTTTTAACTTTAATTTATGGCTTTTTAATTAAAAAAAACAATGGGTAAGATTTATAAAATCTTGAAAAGTGTTATAAATTAACTTATTCGTATTCAAAGCTATTTAAATAATTTTCAAAGTCAAAATTTATTTATTTTGAAATGGATGTATAGGTTACATCTGTACATTCTATTTTCCTTTATTTCTTCTGTAGACTGACAACAAAATGTGTGTGTGTGTGTATGTATATATATATATATATAAACGATCAACTTTTTGCATTAATTTTCAACATTCGATAAATAGAATTCATCTGGCCAAACGCCAATGCAAACTTATTTAATTGGTACCGTTTGGTACTGAGACCTTCGAAAATATATAGGAACCGGTCTTACGAAATATTTTATAGACTGACTTCCTTTTTGGTATTTGCACTTTAGACATGTCTTCTATAAAATCTAATCGAGTTGTTAAACGTTGAAATTGAGTGAATGAAACCCTAAATTAATCTTGTCTCACTTCACACTTCTGGCTTTCTTCCACGAAATTCAAAGTATTTGTTTCTATTATCATCAGATAAAAATTTTTCTGAAGCCTGTTTTCCTTCCACAGCTCGGGCCAGCCGCCTGATCACCTGTCTTGCCCTCATTGGCCCCCTATCAAGCAGCTCCGGTCGTATTCGGTGGATGCTGGTGGTCAGCCGTTAATAGGCCTTCGACAACGGATAGTAGGTGCAAATGCTGCCGTTAAGAAGACGCCTGTTCGACGTTTGGATGAGGAAGCACTAAAACGTTCACGTCTACATGCAAATCAGTAAGTTTAAAATTATTTTTATGAAGCGTAACCTTTAATTTGTTAACGAGCTGCCAGCTGTTCCTATTTAGTTTACAAGGCAGCACCCGTTTTTTTTTTTTTTTAACGAGAAGACACAATATAATATCATTTTTCGTGCATGGAACAATAAAGAAATGTCATTTTTTGAGCGTTTTTTCCGGGAATCGTGATAGTATTTTGTACTGAACTTGAGGCAAAACATATGGTAACGGTAGAGAAACAATGACCTTCGAAGTTTTAGTCCAGGTGTTCTTCGAAATAAACCTGGTAGACTAGGCCCGTTCGACATTTTATGCTGTAACAGGCCTTGCTGCTCTTATATTTGTAATTTCTACAGTTAAATGAGTTTTATTTTAAAAACCTATTCTAAATTTAGCTTTTAGATTCATTTTATTAACTAAACAAGTTAAAATATTTGTAGAAATAGCATTTAATTTTAAACGGTTAAATATAAAATAGCATAATGGGGTGACCTCGAATATTAACAGTGGCCTTTTTTTATATACTGTAATTTATTAGTCTAAAAATTAGATATTGTAAGGAAGATCTCGTAACTTTTAGATAAGAATTTTTCTAAGGAAAAATGTCCTTTGTTTGTAGTATGTAACGCATTTTCCTTATTTCAAATCAGGATAACTGCCATTTTATTTCAAAAATTATTTGTGATTTAGATTTTCGGAGAATTGATTTTTTTTAATGTTTTCTGGCGATTGTTAACGGGATTTTTAAAAACATTTTTGAATATTTACAAAAATAACAATAATTGCAATATTCATTTCCATAAGCAAAAACAAAAAAAAATGCATAAATTAAAAATATATAAACCAGTTATTTCGATTATGATCTAGTAACTTAATAATGCTGAAAAAAGAGGCTCAAAAAAGGTTAGAAAAGATTTTTTTTAAATATATTCCATAATTTATTTTAATTAATAATTAGTAGAATAGAATTAGTTTAAGACTGTACCTAGATTTTAATCAATTTTATTTCTTCTGAAAAATATCATTATTATTATAATTTAAACATAGAATAAAATAAATTTTTTTGTGCGTGTTTGAAAAATGAAATGCTTTCATGCATTTCGATGGAAATCAGATTTAGATTTTGTATCCGATGAATCCAATGGTGAATTTTATCTTTAATTGTATGACGAATATACTTGTATATGAATTTGCATGTATTCACCATTGAACTATGGGAAATGTGGTGAATATTCTAAGAGAAATTCACATGTATTCTGAGAGATTCTCGTAGAAGTCTACGGTAAATTTTTTTTTATTTCCGACATTAGTTACGGTTTGTGAAGTAGCAATTTAAAATGTATTGTAGTGAAGTCCGATTGAAAATAAACTATAAACAAGCAATTTCATTTTACTTTTTATTGAAAATGATTACAAATTTCGGTTTTAATGTAAAATTATTTATTTAATAATACAAAATAATTTTTTAAATTACTGTTTGAGAAATGATTTAATCAAATGTTTTTATTATAATTCTTTTAAGGTGTGTGTGTGTGTGTGTGTGTGTATATATATATATATATATTTATATATCATTGGGTAAATCAATCCGATCTTCAATTTTGTCGACTACAACGAAGTTTATTTATAATTATTAGTATTCAACAGATACATGTGTTTTTATAAATATCTGCATGTATTAAAACTACACTGGCTTCATCGACTCGCTAATTAACATGGCGTGTTTAAGNTGTAGTGATTACATTCCAAGAGGTAGATTATCATTACATAAAGCCATTTTTGAGAGAGAAATTTTAATTTTTTAAAATTAAACACTGTTTTAAAATTTAATATTTCTGTGTAAAAAAGTACTTAGATTTCCCCCGTTAAGATTAAATTATTATTGTTATTTTACTTATAATTTTATTACTGCTCTTTCCAGTCAGCAAAACTTTTTTATTGGGGTCATAAATTCACGAGCTTCTGCGAATAGTTTCCATCTTTAGATCCTAATTTTAGTTTTTCGTTAAGTTAAATAAAGCAATGGTAATTAACAAAATATTTAAATAATTAAAGAAATAATTAAAACGTAGCTTTGTTTCTAACGCTCTTAAGACACTTTTTAAAAAAATAATAATAATAATGATGTGACTCAGATTACAGTTGTCTTGTTCACTTTGGTAATGGAGAATGAGAGAGAAGAGCTGTCATAATGACTAATGATACTATTGAATATTGAAAAATAGTAGAGAATAAACTTGAAATATAATGGGCAATTTTCTGAGTAAATCTGATATTGACTATTCCTATTTATTATAATTTTTTTCTGGATTGAATTGACTTAAAAAATAAGAGTGTGGTGGCTCAAAAAACAAATATTCACGAAAAATATAGCGGATTAAACGAATGTAATAATAAATTATTCTTAAAAAAAGTTATTTTCTTGTTCTAAAGAAAAAATATCTTGATATGAAGATGATAGTTTAGTTCTTTTAATGAAATAATTCGTAATTTAATTTTTTAACGTGAAAAATGTAATTCTTTTAATGCTAGTTCTTTTGTAACTTGTTAATAAACTGTACTAAAATTCTTACGAATAATAACAGAAATTTATTTATACGGCTGCGATATTTTAACTTTCCTATAGGTTGACGTATTTCACTTTATCTGCGGATTTCCTTCAAAATTATGGTGACTAGAAGCTTAATTTTTCAGTCACGAGGATTTCCGCGTGATTTTTAAGAACTCTCGAAACTCTCTTGCCGTTATTTTTCAAGTATTTCGCTTCTTTTCATCATTGAGATAAAATGGATGTGCTTGAAACATGCTCAGACTGCTTTTCGTTCTTCGTACTAATATTAATTTGCGACTTCTGAGAAAGATTTAAATAAAAATTAAACAAAATACAATAGAGAGAATTTTTAAAAATATTTTCCTAGTATATTACGCAATATAATATTTTTTTTATATTACAATGAGTACTTTATCAGTAGATATTAGGGTTTCTCAAACGGGATCCCGGGATCCCGGTTGATTTTTTAACCCGGGAAATTTTTCTTATCCCGGGAAATCCCGCAAATTTCTTAAAAATTCACTTTTTTTCTTATTTTGTGTTAAGGTTGAGGAATTTTGCAAATAGAAAGCATAATTAACTCATAAACTGTCAGAATACATTTGTATTTATCAATTTTAAACCTACTTATTAGTTTCTTAAGTTTTTGCTCATTATAGCATGTCACAAATGGTCAATAATCAATACATAGCTTATTTGTGTCATGACTCTCAAAATTCTTTACTTGTTGGAACCTGTAATATCTGGAATAATTGTGCTTATGCTGTCTNTGGTAGTAACAGGTGTAGTAATCTTCATTCATATTCTACTTTTGATATGATATAAATTACCAAAATATGTAGAGTCGATGCGAGTGTCATAAGGAATGTAAGTTCTCGTGTCAAAAATACAAAACTATTTCATCCCAAATACTATTTCTCACTATACCAAATCAAGTGAAATTGTATATCACACTTTATGTAGTGTTAAAGTTAATAAATTATTTAAAAAACAGTTTAACTTTTTCTTTATATAGATTAAATGAATCAGAGAATAAGCTATGATTTTCCTAATTATATTGTCATACATATGTAATAAAACAAAACAGTAAGATGCAAATTTATTTACTTATTTTACAGATATATTGCGAGTACATAATGTTCTACGTATAATATAACAGTTTTAAACATTATAAAAGAGCTTCTTGTCTTCAAAATTGTTGAAACTAATATCTCAAATACTATAGTAGAGATAACAGAGGCTTATCACAATTCTATTATTGGTAACATTAAAATGATAGAAGTGTCATTTTTGTTACCAGTAGCAGTGTGATAAGTCTGTTATCTCTACTATGGTATTTGAGATATTAGTTTTAACAGTTTTAAACAGATCTCTTTAAAACCTGGATAAATTAAATTGAAAATATAACTATTTTTGATTTATCCACATCCTCATCTGTAATTTAAAATCATCGTGTTATTAATTTTTTTTATAAACCAAATATACTTTTTCTTTCTTTACATATGATATTCGTAATTACATTTATTGCTTTTATAAGATTTTTTGTCAGAACAGTAGAAAAAAGTTAAAAAAATACTTGAAAACAGGAAAATTACCTACTAACCAAATAGATAAGCAAACTTCTTGCTTAACAGCGACTCTCGCACAACCTGAGGCATTGACTGTACTCGAGAGTATAGCGCAAGTATAGCGCAAGGACCAGTATATCTATCGACTCTATTAGAGGTAGACGTTAAGCGCCTTCTCTTATCTAAATTAATAATTTAGATAAGAGAAGGCGCTTAACGTCTACCTCTAATAGAATCGATAGAAAACTCTTATCTAATTTAGATAAGAGTTTGGTTTCGGAGTTCGATAGTATGTAAATTTGCTACATTTTGCTTTGCTTTATCGTAATAATGTAATAAATTTTATTTACATTGGAAATAGGTGCCGTTTGCCATGTTCGTGTCTCGCTACCTGCACAATCAGTACGGAAACATAGCCGTGTGGATCTCCTTAATAATCGGCCAACCTTTATGTATACTAATGTACTACCACGATTACTACATTATTCATTACGGCACGTTGGATGCGACGTCCTGAGATGGAGGTTCTTTTGACCTTCCTCTTTAAATATCTGACCCAATTATGTTTAAGGAAGTACTTACTTTTTTTAGTCAGAGCGTTAATTTACTTTTATCCACCACGACCAAATATTTTTGTATTATGTTGAAATAATTATCGGGAAAAAGAAATGTGGTCGAGTGGAAATTTCATTACTATTTCCCAAATTTTTATAAAAGTTTTGTATGAGGAAATCTATCGTGTCCGACTCGGTGTCAAGCACAAACGAGATCAAATATTTGAAAAAATTAGATAAATGTGTGTGTGTGTGTGTGTGTGTGTGTATATATATATATATATATATATATATATTTATATATCATTGGGTAAATCAATCCGAT